ACTGTCCAATGACACATAATCAGCATTTGAGATTACCATGCAAAATTGTATACCAAACAAAATCGTAAAACTGAATGCCAAAACTAAAGTCTCGTGCGGAAAACTTATATAATATTACAACTGCACGCCAGGCTCCGTGGAATTCAAAAGTTAGTCAAAGTATATTTTTATTCCCTGAACAGGGTATATTAAATTGGTCACGAAGTTTGTAACACCAGAGGGAAACGTCGGATACACTATAAATGATCAGCGTGACGATTTTAGCATGTCCGTCTGTCTGTACGTATACCGTGGCATACGCAAAATAGTCATTCAATTTTGAGATATCGATCTGAAATTTTGTTCATTTGCCGGCACCGCGGATGTCGGAACACATAGCATATAGCTTCCATATGGAATGGAAACTTTTATTTGACAATTTCCAAACAAAATGTTCAGATCGGACCACTATAGTATATAATTGTATAGTACTTATAGCACCCGACACATGCATATCATATAGTCCATAAATTGAGATCTGATAAGACCTTAATGCAACATTTACCATTTACATATGTATTCTTCGCATGCAAGTCATTTGTGCAAATAAGATTAATGCTATAGGATCTATGCATATTTATACAATTTAAGAAAGTATCTACTACTTTTTATAAAGCAAATAGCAATCAAGATGGCAAAGATAATCCTATTTTATATTGCTTAATTTATATCTTTTATACAGAAAATAAAAATTATGGTTTATAGTAGGTCTGTCAAACCACCACGCTTAGGGCTTGACGCTTTCCGTTAAGAACCCCTACCGAAAAGTAGGGATCACAGCCACGCCTACTTCTCATACAGCACAGTTTTCAATTACTTTCATTTTAGTTATAATTAATTAATTATTCACTTACAATTACTAATTTTTTATATATTTTATATCATACTTCAGTCTGTTATTATATTTATTATTACTTATTTTATTATTATTTTTGATATGAATAATATATATATTTATTTATATTTGTTAATTTAATTTCTACTCAGTCAGAACGAGTTTTATATGAAGACCAAACAAAAATATATGGACATATTTCCCTATTTTTGGTACCGATTATAATTTATATTACTATTATTTTTATCCAATAGTTACAGTTTTTTATTTAGACCATGAAAAAGTGTTAAGATATAAATTAAAAATAGATGGTGGGATAATTTAGACATCTACAAGTATAGCCCCCTGAACATGATCTACGCGGGAGCTGCTGAGAGCATGTCAAGAAATACAATATAAACAAATTCCTAGAAACATTACAAAAATTGCAAGAATAAACAAATCAAGAAAATAAATAAATAAAGCACAAAATTAAATCACTCTTTGAGAGCACACACACAAAGGTGCTTGCGCTCTTCAACTCTCTGCATTCAATTATCTTCACACTCGAAATTATTTTCTGCCATTTCAGATTACTCTGCTATTCGTGTGTCGTGGATTCCTTATGCATGGTAGCTGCCGGAAACTTGGATGCTTTCATATCGAAGACATGTACCCATGGGATTGTGCCGGTTATTTGCTCATACGCGAAGCCGGTGGCGTGGTAACACATCCCTATGGTGGACCATTTGAAATTATGAAACCAGATTTAATATGCGCTGGCACCGAGCCGTTGCGCAAAGAAATGGAGGAGATCATAAGGAAAGCCGATCAAGTGAAATCTGTTGGCGGCGAGGAGCTATAAAGTTTAGTTGAACATTGTAAATGGGAAGAAACAGCAGTTTTACAGAATCTAATTGTTATGTACTTCAATATTGAATTTTTCAATATTATTTCTTTATATAATTAAATAATTTTTCAAACAAATTTTACCTTTTTACTTTAATTTTGCTTTTAAAATTAGTACAATTAAAACTTCTAAACGAAAAAGTGTAAATATTCGAAATTCGAAAATCTCGATATGACATCAAACAGCTATTGAGGGGAAGAGTGGCGTGCTGTCATGGGATGGCAAGCAAAACAACAAATCACATGAGAGTTGTAAATTTGCAAGGTTGAGTAGCGATTCCTTTTTATTAATTATTTATATATTTGTTTTTTTGTAATTTGTATTGTATTGAGGAAAGAATTATCGCAGACGCTCATACTAATACATTTTCCCGAACGCTGCTCTTCGAATTGCGCTTGGAGAGTCTACGCAATGCAGTACACTTTGTTAAGTGAATGCTAAGTAGTCAGTTGTAGGCGACAATCACTCGAAAAAGTCGCTTACGAAATTATTTTATTTAAAAAGCAAAGAAAATCAGTTCGTAACACCTTTTATATTATTATTTATACAAAATAAATATGTTGACAGCGTCGAATCAGAAACAATACGTAATACTATAATGTCGTTTGGAATTGGTCATGAAATGTGGGCCGGTCGCTTGTAATGAACAAGCGGATGCATTACAAACAAAATCGGCATTCTGATGTGGTAACGTTATGATAAGAAGGTAGAGGATCTACTATCGCTGGATTACAGAAAGCATTCCCGAAACGAAATTTATCGGTGAGAGGGCACAGCGGAAAACAATAGTGAGCCGGTATTAACAATGCACCCACATGGATCATTGATCCCATAGATATACCACAATTTCATACACCGCATACCACTTGGTGTATATCGGTGGGTTTGGCCATTAATCGAGAATTGGTAGTATTGTTTATAATCCTATTGCAAATGAAATGTACTCGGCATGGAAAGGTCATGGGCTTATTTGAATGGCAAACGTATTCATGTGAGAAAATGTACCGAAGTGAGTAATTTAATTAAATATTCAACCATACATGTTGACAAACATATATTTTGTGGATATACGAAGTCCAAAAGAAATTAGTTTGTACTCAAAAGTGCACAGTATCGTAGTTATGTTATCTCTTAAGAGGTATAGATAACGGTATTGAAAGTAATAAACCATGCTTTCTTATAGCATAAGAGGGCAAAAAGATCTATATCTTGACTTTAAGATATCTCGTCAAAAAAGTTTTCCGAACAAGGAATTGATTTTGATTGATCAGTTTGTACGGCAACTACTTATATGCTAAATGTAGTGGTCCGATATTGGCGGATCCGCCAAATGAGCAGCTTTTGGGGAGCAAAGGACGTGGACAGACCGACGAGCATGGCTAGATTAACCCAGCTCGTAATGCTAATCATTTGTATATATTTCCATAGGGTTTCCGAGTTTTTTGGGTGTTACAAACTTCGTTGAAACTTAATATACCCTGTTCAGGGTATTGGAGTATAAAACCAAGTATCATTGTTGTTATTGTTGTTGTAGCGACTAAACAGACCCTTTGGGTTAAGGCAATAAGTTAACTGGCATCGAAATCACTTACGGACAACGATGACGGAGGTAGGGTGTTAGTGAGTCAATTGGACATGCAAAGAGGTGGTTAGTGGCATGCGGGAATTTGACATCATCGAAGAAATTTTGGGATCCATTTGTAAATAGGGGTAGGCCTGAAATTGGAGAGAGAGATTTAGGCTCCTTGCAGTGAAGAAGCGAGAAAGTTCTAGGGATAGGCGTTCACTTAAGCAGATGGCATCAATTCCATTGTAATAGGACCTCCGTCTGGTGGTTGTGAGAGTTTCGAAATATAGTGATTAAAGAGTAGCGGGCAGAGAACACCACCTTGCGGAACCCCTGTTTAGAGCTCTTAATTTAAATTGTTCACCTCGAAATAATACCGATGATCCGACTAGATAATTCATGGTCCACCTTCAGTCCTAAAGGAGCGTTGGTTTCCTCACGCAGTGTTTATGGACTGTGTCAAAAGTTTTGACAAGTCCTACGCCGAGGACAATCCTCTCACGAGCTCAGGGATTTGACAGTAGTCCAAAGCTTGCCTACTCCTACGGAGAGGTTACATGATTTCAGATGATACACCCATTTTGTCTGCTTAGGCGGGAAATTTGGCGTACATTCTACCAGCAAGAATCAGCGACCAGTAGCAGCAGCGATCACCTTGCGGAATTGACGTACGCAACGAATGCGAATACTCATACGTCCGTAGAAATGGTCAGTGCGGTGAATTTTAGTGAATTCTGTGAAGCCAAGTCAGCTAGCTTTGTTAAAGTTAACGTAGGTGCAGTTGTCCACAGAAATAAAATCGGAGAGTTCTCGATGAAGATTATTATGGGCAGTATGCTGCTTATCGGACTACAACCAGCGATTGTTATATAGGCGAACTACTTTGTACAAAGTGTAATTAAGCGCAAATATTGACATTATGCGTTATATAAATTGCCACCATATATTTGTTCTGTTGACATATGTATGTATATTAGTATGCGGTCATGATTATAATAACAATCTTTACGGTCTTTCCTCCTTAAGCCAACAATTTAATTACAAGGGTATACAAGAATAGCTTTCGAAATAAAATCTATTAATTAGCATGCCACTTAGTATACTTTAGAATAGAAAATTCAAACATGAAATTGATATTATTTTTCTTTCACTATATGTCTCATTTCAGATGAACGATGCAGTTTTAGCTACGAAGTTTCAATTATTCACGCAGCATCAGTGCGTGATAGGTGAAGCGCCTTCTAACTCGCGGCTGTTAGCACGGGATAAATATAATAATTTATATATTTATAAAGAGTTCAAAAATCGTTCATTTAAGCACACGTTGCATGGGCAGCCGCATTGACACTCTGCTACCTTGCAAGCGGGCTTTGATTGCTACCATGTTGAAGATTTACAGCCATGGGATATAGCTGGTGGCGCAGTGATATTACGTGAAGCCGGTGGTGTGCTATATCATAGCAAAGGTGGTGAATTTAATATTATGAAACCCGATTTAACAGCCGCAGCCACGCCAGAGTTAGTAAAAATCATGGTCGGTTTAATTGAAGAGGCTGATGCACTGACTGACTTCACATTTAAATAATTACTTTGTTATTAATCATGTTCTAATTTTTGCGAAGTTTTTGTATGGAGTGGTTAACAAATAAAATTATTTTAAAAAATCTTACATTTGGCGGCATTCCGTGTGTTTGATAACCCATTGGCGGCATATTGGGACCTTGTGGCGGCATTTGCATTCCCATATGTGGACCTGGAAAACATATTTATACAATTAAATGGATGAAAAATTTAATATTTATGCAACTACACACCCATGCCTTGATGATGCGGTGGCATGTGATGCCCTTGTGGTGGCGGTCCTGGTGGACCTGGTGGGCCAGGTGGTCCTTGGCCTGGTGGTCCATTCATATGCGGTGGTGGCGCTCCTTGTACACCCGGTTGTTGTTGTGGTCCTGGCGGTCCGTGTGGTGGTGGTACGCCATGTGGTGGTGGGGCATGTGACATTGGCGGACCACTACCCGGTGCACCACCACTACCTGGAGGAGGTGGGCCATGCTGACCTGGAGGACCTTGCCCATGTGGTGGTGGTGGACCATGTTGACCTACACCATGTTGCCCAGGCGGCATTGCACCGTGTTGTTGATGTTGTGGTGGTCCATGCGGAGAACCGTGTGGTGGTGCATGCTGCATAGGATGCGTATAGGGGCCACCAGGATGACCAGGAGGTGGCGGTGGGCCGTGATGACCGCCGGGTGGTATTGGACCGTGTTGACTATGCGGTGGCGGTCCTTGCATATGTTGCTGTTGTGGCGGTCCATGTGGTGGACCTGCCGGGACTGCACCAGAAGGCCCTTGTTGTACTGGCGGTCCTTGCGGCATTTGTTGATGTGGATAAGGACTGTGCGGCGATGGCGAGGGGCTTTGTGCTGGCGGCACCTGAGGAGGAGGCATTGGACTATTAGCGGGTGAGGGTGAAGCCATATTCACCCTACAAATTTAAAAAATTGGGACACAGAAAACCGCAAATTATGAGCCTTCCAGTGAAATAGTATGGGGAATTAGGCAATATGTATAAGTACACAAAGGCAAAATTTGTTATGTGAATCTACTTTTCAAATGTCTTTTTTGCTGCGAATAACACAAATTTCACACACTTATTAACAGATTTACGCGATGATGGATTCACAGTTTGCGTTCGAACATTTTTTTCACTTTAAATGAGTAAGTTTTGCAATTTTTTAGAGCACACACGCAATTTTTGTTTTGCAAAGACGACGCGACGAAAAAATTCAATGGCTGCCATGAAGTATATATAAACGTCAAATTTATGTTGGTGATACTGCATACCGGCTGTCAAATATGTGCCGATGATATCGAAAGTTATCGTTATCGTTTATTAAAAATTTATGTTTTTCATATATCGAAAGTTTATAACTTTAAAATTATGCAACGGATTTCTGGAAAAATCGTCTAACTCAGTCTTGAGTACGATCACAGGATTATTAAATAAAAATACTAATTTAATAGCTATACACTTATCTCTATATATAATTCCAACAACTTAACGCTTCATTACTCAATATCCGAGCTTTCAACTTTTTATTTATATCGCAACTAGTCTTTACCTACCAACACTTTAACTGAAGCTGCCTGTGCTGCACAATTTGGCATCCCTCATATAGTAGTTCGTTAACAAAACTGCGAAATTTAAAAAAATTGTCGTTCCTTGATATAAAATATAAAAAAATATCGAAAAATGATAACTACAGTTTATATAAATTAATCGATTTATAAATATAGCTTTTATTGCAAATAAACAACATATCGATATAATATCAACAATCCCTACGGAGCAAGGCGCGAAATCCTATAAAACACATTTAAAAGATTGATGAAGTCAGTATTTGCCAGAAAAATTTGCATCTGAGCGAAGTTTAACCAATATTTTAGTAAAATGAGCGGATTTTCAAGCAAAAGAAAGTTTCCGGAAAACGGTAATGCAAACAAAAATGGATACGCGGCCGCAGGGAAGCAACAAAAGAAATGGTTTGTTAAAGGCGAAAATTAAGATTATATACCGGTGAAGTGTTTATGCAAAATTTATGTACATATCTACTTGTTTTCATAATATTCTTACAAAGGAACGATGAAGATGATGATGATTTTGATGGAATGGATTTTGATATGGCAGGGGAAGGAGGTGATGATAAGGATGCTCTACTGGGAGAAGGTCCGGAGAACCAACAAACCTCAGTTAAATGGTCCAGAGTTGATCCACCAAATTTAGATCCTTCCACTGACGAATTGACATTTCAACAAATAGATATAGAGAACTACTTGGGCGAACCAATGCCAGGAATGCCAGGTCCACAGATTGGACCGGTACCAATAATACGCATGTTTGGTATTACAATGGAGGGCAATTCGGTTTGCTGTCACGTACATGGTTTCTGCCCTTATTTCTATATAGCAGCGCCACGTAGCTTCGAACGCAATCATTGCAATGCCTTACGCGAAGCTTTGGACAAAAAGGTATTAGCAGATATGCGTAGCAACAAGAATAACGTACAAGAAGCTGTGTTAGAGGTACAACTCGTGGAGCGCCTTAATATTTACGGTTATCAAGGCGATGATAAACAACGCTATATAAAAATAACAGTAACAATGCCTAAATTGGTTGCAGCAGCGGTGCGATTACTTTCCAATCAAATAATACTGTCGGATTTCGATTTTCAAGACTGTCGTGCATTCGAAAGCAATATTGACTTCGATATCCGTTTCATGGTTGACACACATGTAGTGGGTTGTAATTGGATTGAATTACCAGCAGGTACATGGCGTATACGCAATAAAAATACTAAACCGCTACCAGAATCGCGTTGTCAAATCGAAGTAGATGTAGCCTATGACAAATTTATATCACATGAACCCGAAGGAGAGTGGTCTAAAGTAGCGCCTTTCCGCATACTATCATTCGATATTGAGTGTGCCGGACGCAAAGGTATTTTTCCTGAAGCTAAAATGGATCCGGTCATACAGATCGCCAACATGGTTATACGACAAGGCGATCCCGAACCTTTCATCAGAAACGTGTTTACTTTAAATAATTGCGCACCAATTGTTGGCTCCGCGGTACGTTGTTTCCCCAAAGAGACGGAACTTTTAGATGCCTGGTCGAGTTTTGTGCGCGAAGTGGATCCTGATATTTTAACCGGCTATAATATAAATAATTTTGATATACCCTACCTGCTTAACCGTGCTGCACACTTGAAGGTGAAGAATTTCGAATATCTCGGACGCATACGAAATATACGTTCAGTTATTAAAGAACAAATGTTGCAATCAAAGCAAATGGGTAGACGAGAAAACAAGTATGTAAACTTTGAAGGACGTGTTCCCTTCGATTTGCTCTTTGTACTGTTGCGTGACTATAAGCTGCGCTCGTATACACTAAATGCGGTGAGCTATCACTTTTTACAAGAGCAAAAAGAAGATGTGCATCACAGCATAATCACAGATCTACAAAATGGCGATGAACAAACACGTCGTCGTCTGGCTATGTATTGTCTTAAGGATGCCTACTTACCTTTGCGTTTGCTGGACAAACTTATGTCTATTGTCAATTACATGGAAATGGCGAGGGTCACTGGGGTGCCGTTGGAATCGTTATTAACACGTGGTCAACAGATTAAAGTGCTAAGTCAATTGTTGCGTGCAGCACGTACCAAGGGATTTATAATGCCCGCCTACCAGTCGAAGGCGTCCGAGGATCAATATGAGGGCGCTACAGTTATAGAACCGAAACGCGGCTACTATGCCGATCCCATAGCGACACTCGATTTTGCTTCTCTATATCCTAGTATTATGATTGCACATAATCTCTGCTATACGACGCTAGTGCAGCCGGGTATGAAAGAGCGGCTCGGTCTAACGGATTCCCAAGTGGAACGTACGCCAGCCAACAACACATTTGTACGCTCAGAAGTGCGTAACGGATTGCTACCAGAAATTCTGCAATCGCTATTGGCTGCGCGTAAGCGTGCCAAAAATGATTTGAAGGTAAATACTTTAAATATGCTTTGCATTTTTTTTTATAATTATTTAACTTTATTTTTAGGTTGAAAAAGATCCCTTCCGGCGTAAGGTGCTCGATGGCCGACAATTGGCTTTGAAAATATCCGCCAATTCAGTGTATGGTTTCACAGGTGCGCAGGTGGGCAAATTACCTTGTTTGGAAATATCGGGCAGTGTCACCGCTTACGGGCGTACAATGATTGAGTTGACGAAAAATGAGGTGGAGAAACATTACAGAATCGCTAATAATTATGAAAATGATGCAGTCGTCATTTACGGTGACACAGATTCGGTGATGGTGAACTTTGGTGTCAAAACGTTGGAGCGCGCAATGGAACTTGGACGTGAAGCGGCCGAAATAGTGAGCGCCAAGTTTGTGCGACCCATTAAATTGGAATTCGAAAAGGTTTACTACCCTTATTTGCTAATCAATAAGAAACGTTATGCTGGTTTGTATTTTACGCGACCCGAAACTTATGACAAAATGGATTGCAAAGGTGTGTGTTTGCGCGTATTGTTATTAATTTTTTTATAACTTTTAACTCAACTTGTATTGCTTTCCACTTTTCAGGCATTGAAACCGTGCGCCGCGATAACTCGCCGCTTGTTGCGAATCTCATGAACACGTGCTTACAAAAGTTGCTTATCGAACGCAATCCCGATGGCGCCGTAGAATATGCGAAACGTGTCATAGCCGATTTGCTCTGCAACCGTGTCGACATCTCACAGCTGGTGATCACTAAAGAATTGGCCAAGACTGATTATGCTGCTAAACAGGCGCATGTAGAATTAGCGAACAAGATGAAAAAACGTGATCCTGGCACAGCGCCTAAACTGGGCGATCGTGTGCCTTATGTGATTTGCGCTGCGGCAAAGAATACACCCGCCTACATGAAGGCTGAGGATCCACTATATGTGCTGGAGAATTGTGTGCCTATTGATGCTAACTACTATTTGGAACAACAATTATCGAAACCTTTGTTACGCATATTCGAACCATTGCTCGGTGATCGCGCCGAGTCTATACTGCTTAGTAAGTTACCACAAATTATGAGCTTTGATTTCTATTCTTTAACAACAACTGCTTCTGCACACAGAGGGTGAACACACACGTACGCGTTCGGTGGCAACCTCAAAGGTTGGTGGTCTGGCTGGCTTTATGACTAAGAAATCGTCTTGCCTCGGTTGTCGTGCACTAATGCCGAATGGTTATGAGAAGGCTGCGTTATGTCCGCATTGTGAACCACGCATGAGCGAATTGTATCAACGCGAAATCGTGGCAAAACGCTCGCTGGAACAAACTTTCGATCGCTTGTGGACAGAGTGTCAACGTTGTCAGGGTTCGCTGCATGAAGAGGTGTTGTGTTCGAATCGTGATTGTCCGATTTTCTACATGCGTCAAAAGATACGCATGGACTTGGATACACAGGAGAAGCGGGTACAACGTTTCGGTGCGCCCGATTGGTGACGAATTACCGTTTATATTGCATGAATAGTTCATAAGTGCTTTGCGCCCGATTGTGAATCGGTTGAAAAAAGAAAACTGTATTTATATTTTATTTGTTTTACCTCTAATTAACAGAACTTGAAATGCTGTGTCTAAATTTGGTTTATCTGAATACAATAAATTAAACTTGTTTGAAAAATTTCGTTCTTTCTTGAGAATAATGGGGTCTCTAAAGTTTGTGCTACATAGAAAACGCCTTATCTAATCTTTGATACTCTCAACCACATAATAAAGCGAGAAAAAACGTAAACTTCAGTTGCACCGAAACTATAATACCGTTCAAAATATCGGCGGTATTGACATTTGAGCGTGCAGCTTTTTGGAAAGAAAAGGTCGAGTGAAAAATTTCAGTTTGATGTGTCAAAAGCTAAGGGACTAGTTCGCAAATATACAGAAAGACGGACCTGGACCTTACGCTGATCTTATATATATATTTTTATACCATCTCCAACGTTTCCTTCTGGGCAAGCTTAATATACCCTGTTCAGGGTATAAAAACTATAATTTCACACGCGTTCTTGACATTTTTTCGCTTAATTAAACTTTGTTTAGTGTTTTACAGATAATACCATAACTTATTTTTATCTTGTTTATTAATGCTATATGGTTTTTTTTTTACAAAGATACCGCGCCAATCGTTGACTAAAAACTAAAAAACCTACAATGCGCGTTGGTAGTGAAAAGCGCGGCGCTACCCTACTTTTATCATGTTTAATGTTAATTCAAATTGGAAACTAATTACGTGATATTGGTACTTTTTATTAACACGACTAAAGGATACGGGCTCTTAATTTTGATTTTAAATTTGTTTTTGGCAAAGTCAACTAATACAACTGTGTGACTTTCAAAACTTTAGTAAAAGTTTGCTTCAGAAATTACTTTTTTTTTTGATTTTTGAAAGCCCGTATTATTATAGATTAATGTTGTTAATCGTTCATATCGTTAGGGAGCGCCGTTGTGAAGTCACATCATAGTAGTGTTTCTTTTCTATCAATACGTTTTCTTATTAATATACACTTGCAATTGCCTTATGTGCTGCCTACCAACAATTTACTTGATTTCATTTACGTGTTTGTTTTATATGTATGTATACAAAATGCATATAGTAATTACTTAAAATTAAGAACAAATAAAATAGTTTAAAGAACTTTTTTTTTGGGTAAAGTTGGTATGGGACAAGGAGTTTTTTTCTATATTTCTAGTTGCACTATTTACGACTTTGCAATGTATTGGAAAGCCAATCCATCGCTTGATCTAAGCCTTCACCTTTGGTCGCCGATGTTTTGAATATTTGGAAAGTTCGATTTTTTAAATTTTCCAAACCGAGCGCATGATGTACTTCCGCCACGGTCATACAACCTTCCATATCCTGTTTGTTGGCGAGCACAACAAGTATGGCGCCGGCAAGTTCTTCTTCCTATAAGCAGCAAACAAAACAATATTCTTTAAGAATTGCACATATATACTATTTAAAAAAAAAACGCACTCGCAACATGTACAGCAGTTCATCTTTAGATATGCCTATCCGATCTCGATCTGCAGAATCCACTACATAGATTATAGCATCTGTGTTACTATAATAACAACGCCAATACGGCCTAGATACCAATGAAAGTTAAATAATGTTATTTCTTGTATGTTATTTAATTTACAAACCTTATACTTGTCTGACCACCCAAATCCCATACCTGGAATTTTAAATTCTTGTATGTAACCTGTTCGACATTGAAACCGATAGTCGGTATTGTTGTGACCACTTCACCAACTTGCAGTCGATAAAGTATAGTCGTTTTGCCAGCGCCATCCAGCCCCAATATCAGTATGCGCATTTCGCGTGAGCCGAGCAGACCGCGAAAGTAACTTAATACACCACCTAAGAATAATACAAACTATTTTAGCAACTAAAAAGGAATTTTTGTTGTTATTTTTGATGAACAGTTGACTCACAACACCGGCAGACGTACGATTGGCATAAAGGTTCTATTTCCAACTTAGCCAATCTGTCACTGCTGCCACACATAGAACTTACCCATTTTATTTTGGCTACAATACGTTGGTGGTTGGTATTAATTTACTTATTATATATATTATTGGTGTATAGCTTGATTTAATTGTTTTTCCTATAAAAGTTAATGCACGCACATTTGTTTTAATTATAATAAATACATATGTGAAAATAATTCGTATTTTCACTTTTTTTATAGGCAGACGAGGAGAACGGTTTGATTTATGTCAAAAATTGTTTGTCATGCGTAGCGGTTATGACGTGTCTGTCTAAAGAACAGCCAGTGTTGCATTGCAACTGAAACGGTTAAAATAAAATGCGTATATGTTTGGTATTGTTTTAAAATATGTTTTTTTTATTTTATTTGTTTAAATATAAAAAAATCTCACAAAAGCTATTTGAATAAATATCAGCAAATTAGTAATAATCACCAATAAATTATGTGATATTTTAAACTTTTGATTATAGATCTTGTATCTATTAAAAATAATAACTACGGAAATCATTTTTTTTTGCCTAGAATATGAATAAAGATAAAATATAAAACTATTTTTTAATTTATTTATTTTCGTTTTTCGTATTTATAATTTTTATTTATTTATTTCAAAATATTTCTTAAGAACTGCATTATAATTATTTAATTTTTATTGATTGCTAAATATTATTTCAATGATTACACAAACTATTGAATGCTTTGACTTCCTTATAATGCTTTGCATAACCTCAAATACATGGACACATATATGCATGTATCAATCTTTTATAATTTATATATTATTTGCGTTTATGTTGCTGTTGTTGGTTTGTATTGCGATTGCTAAATAAAAATAATAATATTATTCCATATACATACGGTAAAGAGCCTTTTTAAATACCTATACATACATATTACCTTTTGTGTTTAACATCTTATTAAATATACGTTATTTTAACATTGTTTGTTTTATATATTTTACAACTTATGTAAAGCAATGTTTACTATACATTTTTGTAATATTTTTTTTTTTTTTTAGTTTATAAATATACATGTATATATATAAAGCACACACAGATAAATAGCTATGAATATTGTAGAATTTTTAAAATAATTCTCAAAAAACAAAGACAATGTTTTTTCTTAGTTTAATTAAGATTTTTTGTTTTGTTTTCATTTTATTGCATTAGAAAATGTACTGGAGTTAATATACTTAGTAAAAATGTGTCTTAGTAAAACGATGTGCTAGTAAATATCAGTCGGAAATGTTCAAAACACTGTATATCGTATTCAATTCCCTTATTAGATATTAAGTTAACGAATGTCTGTAGAAATTGTATTTTTCATATTACCTATTAGTTTTAATTTCTCATTTTTCTTCAAGTGCATAAAAGTGTGTTATTTGTTATTGAGAAAGTTTCATATCATATGATAGCAAAAGAAAAAAAGCTAACTAGTATAAAAACATTAAACATAAAAAACATAAACAGTTAACATTTGTCCGAGTTGTTTTAAATTAACTAAATAATAAGAAATTTAACATATCACACGAAAAACATATATAAATATATTTAATTAATTTTATGTGAAACTTTCTCTGAAATATATAAATTTTCACGTGACTGCCACTTTCAACCATGCATATATACATATATATAAGTATTGAAATAATAAGTTAATTAATAAATGTCCTTCACTTTCGCAGTTTTAAATATTAAAATGACATTTTATACAATTTTTTTAATTATAAATACTCCCAGTTTTATTTAGTGTATATATATCTATATTTTAATTTATCAAAGAGCTGTTAAAAATTATTTTGTTTATATGTAAGTTAAATGGTAATGTGAACGTATTTTTAGCATGTTTGGCTGACTAGAATGTTTGGTGCAAATTGTTAGCTTTTTAGTTAATTTTTTTATTAAAAGTTTTTATTTGATGGCATAAGAATGAATGCTTTGAAATGTACAGTTCTTTCACGCGTAATACTTGCATAGTTTTGTTGACATACACATACATTTTTTAATAATATTTTTACTTATTGTTGAATTTAATTTTATTAAAATTATAGTTATCATTGATTGAAGCATTTTCACTAATGTTATCGATTTCCACTACATGTTTAGGTTAACTAGCTTTTTTCTTTTTGTTAATGCAGCTACTTTTTTCTACATTAATAAATTAAAAAAGACATTCATTTATATTTTTAATATTACTTTTTGTTTTTATAACAAAAATATTTGGTGTTTTTTCTCGTTTGTTTATTATATATAGCTTAACTTTAAATCGTAATTTTTCTTGTTTGTTTATACATAAACAATTTCATTTTTGACGTTTTCTAATAAGTAAAACAAATAATTTGCGGTTAACAATATACGCAAAATTATCAATCTCGTTAGTTATTTCATATTCAGATTTAGTTTTAATTAATCTTTATAAAATAATGTTTTTTTGTTATTTTGCTCACTGGCTTTGCATGAATGTTTGAAACTGCATCTATTTATTTACATTTGTTCTGGTGGGAGCAACTATCAAATATTTCGGCGCAGAAAAAACTAAATGGAGCTTATACTAAATGCTAATAAATTGTTTCAAAAATTGTGCATTTTTTCAGAATTTTGCATGGCCATTTGTTGTGATACTTTACTACTACCTCAAGCTTATTTTATGAATTTTGGATGCTTTATATTTAATTCTGATTTTTATGTTTTTGGTGGGACATAAGTATATGTATATATGTAGGCGCATAGTTACGGTTTAAATATATCGGCTTTCAACTTGATATCTTTTCTCGGTATAAAACTGACTTTTCCTCCTGTAACTGCACCTTTTGTATTACTTCGAAGTAACAAAATAAATGTGCGTATTAAAATTTTGTTTGCTATAAATATTAATAACTGCGCTTTGTATCTATTATTAAGTATAAATGCCATTGTATAGATTTAGCAAAAAGCAAATGTCAAGTGCATTAAACTCTTGTTTTATGACACAAAATCAATTATGTTATGAAAAAAATACACCCATTACTTGCTAGCCAAATTACGTATTGCGAAACATTAGTTGGCTTTCGTATAACATTAAGGCCACTAAAAAATATTTTCTTAAAACAAAATTATATATAGTTTTTCGTATAAATTAAACAATGTGTAAAGTAATTTTTGCTTTTTCTTTAAATATATTAATTTATGTCTATTAAGCAGGTCAAATGGTTCATCAACAGTTTTACATTGCTTTTAAGCTGTTTTTCGGATTTTTAGAATAAGTAATTATTACTTTGTTTTCGTTTAGCTACATCATGAATATGCATTAATTTATGTATAAATATATTAGTTTAATATAATTTTGTGTATTCTTGTATATTCAAAGCAGTGTTTGTGTCGAAAAATATTTATCGAATAAAAAATTTTAAATAGAAAAATTAAAAGAAAAAATTAAACAAAATAAATTTTAAAAAAAGATGTAAAAAATATACATAAAGACAAATGTAAAACAAACACATAAAAAAATTTATTTAAATAAAAATAATAAAAAAAAGGTTAAAGAAAAAAATGTTAAAATTTAAAAAAAATTCGAAATAAAAAAAAGAGTCAAATAAGAGTTTAATAAAAAAATAAGTTTAAAACCAAAATATAAAATCGAAAAAAAAATAAATATTACAAATTTATAACATCAAAATCGAACAGAAATCGAAAGTTAAATAAAAACAAGTATGATAAAAAATGATAATTTATAAATTTAATTTAAATTTTAAACAAAAAGAATGTGAATTTTACGATTTCTAAAAAAAAATTACATTTTAAAAATTATTTCTTTACATACTTTTTAAATCTATAATAATTTAGTTTAATAAAAATCGTTTTAGTGTTTTTAGTTTTTGTTTTTGTCAAGCCGAAGCCTGGAAATTACTTTCCAACGCCAAACACCACTTTGATTATTTTTATAGTTTGTATTACACCAAGAATTTTTAATAAGCAATACATTTTTCTTATAACAAATTATGTTCCATATATCTAATGTCATTTCGTTTGCATTTTACTTATGATGCACAATATTTTTCATCCTAACTTGAATCGGTTTACGTCGACCACACACATACGGCTGCCCAAACTGCAAATGCGCTACAATGTCCTACACATATGTACTATATCCATTTGTTCTTGCTAATACTTGCTACTAAGTATTCACTAAAATGATTTAACTAAGTTTACACAATACAGCGAGTGGTTATGTCTGAACTAATAAAAATTCCTAACCTAAACTTGTAAAGCCTACTACAATGCTCATAAACTGCTATCTAAAACTTTTAAGAAGTATCGAACTACAAAAGAAAACATATTAAGTATTAATAATTACATTTGTATTAAGTATAGTATTGAATAGGCGCAGCAACGAAATATAACTAACAAATGCTTTATTCAGGCATATGCCACCCAAGCATAATTATTAATAGAAACTATAATAACTAGGTTTACATATAATACAGTAAAAGTTTAATACGCTTAGCAAAGGTTCCTTAGGGCTTGACTATTCATTTTACCCAAACAACGTTGTTGTAACAGTGACAGTTGACAAATTTGTACATATGTACATATGGAGTTTTAAAACTGTTATCAGTGACAGCTGTGAAATTTGTTACAAAAATAAAATTTTAAATGGTACAAAAAATAACGCAAAATTAATTACAAAATTCATAAATATGTATGTATATTATGTTAAAAAATTGCACAACGCACAAATTTTACAAGCACTACTACAACAACGAAGCACTGTTAACACAAACTATTTCACTTATAAGCCCACCTTACAGTTCTTTACCTAAAGCACGTGAAAAAATGCCACTGTTTGTATACCATTACGACCGCGATATTCCTGCGTGTTTGCCTAAACATTTGCTATGGGTGCATTGCGCGTCTCCGCATCCCGATTCGACTTATCCTACACATACTGATAGTGCGCCAACTCGGTGCCACCACCTTCACCATCGGCATTTCCACGCAATAGCGGCTCTTGTTCCACCGTTGTGCGACCCACCTGCTTATCCATATCGTAGTAATTCATCCAATCGACGTGACGCGGTTGCACTAAGCCAAAACATTTGCACTCCAAGAAATCGACCAAGTTGTTGAATGGTCCACGTGTGAAAGGACTGTGTCCACCTTTCGCCTGAAAGTGACGATAACGTCCACGATTCATGCGCTCATTAGTAGTCATACCCAAGCAGACGACTTGATATGTCTGGCAAATTGTTAGTAGCACAACCCAGGAGAGATGTAACAAGGCATTCGCCATCACCCAACCCACCCAGGCATTACAATTGGCTATGTCCATAATTGCTTTTTGGAAATCCGCCAGCGGTACGAGCGTAAAGTGTACATTACATTGATAGATATAATAACAGGCGCCACCGTATAACATCCAACCGCACATGATAAGTAACATCCAGAGGAAACCCATGAAGTACACGTGATTCTTGAGGCCAATACAATTACCCACCCAGGGGCAGTGATGATCGAAACGAGCAACGCAACGATCGCAAACGCTGCAATGCTTTGAACGTATCGGACGCCGTACCAGACAGCCGGAACAGAAGGAGGAAGGTTCAAACCCAATGCCACCGCGTTCTGACAATTCGACAATCGTCTGTAATATAAAATTGTTGTATTGTAAATTGTTAAGATGACAACTGCAGCGGAAGTATTATATTTAATTTTATAACCAACAAATGCGCACTTAGAAATAAAAAAAAACTATCTTAGCACGCAAACCCTCAAAACAATTCTTACTTTAAAACGTTGCTCCTGCGTCGGTCGTATAATACCTGGATCGCCTTTCCAAGACTTCATAAAACATACCCAAAGCGCTGCGGAGCACGTCAAAAATACCAAGGTTTCCGCAAACGATACTGCATCCACAATGTATACAATCCATGTAACATAGAACCACGCTTTCGTTGCCAGATACACGCTTAACGGTAATAATGCAAGCAAATGCTCATCGAATAACGCTTTACCAAGCGTATGGAAGATGCCATACAAACAACCAAGCAGGAAGAATTTAATTATATACAGTGTATTTAGTGTAAATACGACGCCAGCTAAATAAAACGCCGTAAATGGACAAGCAACCATTGCCCACCAACGTAGACGTTTATCATGGCGCAGACGTGATATCAAGGAGCGTTGTGTTTGTGATTTTTGCGAAGCCTCACGTACGCGATCTAATACTTTCGAACCAATCCATATTGCGCCTGCCTGTGTCTCGAGCATTGTTAAGGGTGTTTCGCCACGCAAATTAGGAACGTCGAGTGAGGCGCGTGATTTTAGAACCAATGTAGAAATCGCAGTAGCGTTGCGCGCCAGTATGGCCCAATGTAATGCTGTGTTGCCGTGTGTATAATCGACCATGGCGGGATTAGCGCCAAGCGTGAGTAATAAACGTACAGGATCCAGTGCGCAAACCTAGCAACAAGTTTAGTCAATATTTTAAAGAATAATGTGTAAATGTGCAATGTTAAGATTTACCTTCCAAGCGGCCCACATGAGCGCAGTCATCCCGCCACGATCTTGTAAATCTGGATCAACACCTTTTGCTATGAAATATGCAACCAATGCTGTGTGTGCAAATTGTGCTGCAATGTGTATGCAGGAGCAACCCTCGGCATCACGTATTCGCGGATCAGCGCCGGCATTCATCAGCAGCACAACAGAACCGAGATGCCCTTGTCTTGTTGCCCAATGTAAGGGTGTTGCATTTAATTCACCACCTACAGCATCTACAATAGCGCCTTTCTCCAGAAAATAACGTATTATATCACGCCTATTATTAATGGCTGCCCAATGTAGTAACGTTACAGTCTCACTATCGGGTTGATTAACATCCCAACCAGATTCAATAAGTTCACGTACACGTGCTATAGCGCCATACTGTGTCGCTTTGACTATATCGAAGCCGCTGTAATCTGGTTCCACCGGTGCTGTGGGTGGCTGCTGTGCCATAAGTGCTGCCTGACGTTCAGCATCGCGATCATTTTCTGTACCAGGCGCACATGAGCCAGTCGTAGCGACATTGCAAGCGGTCTGATACATGGTACTGGGATATTGATGTAACCGTGATAGGAATAGATTTTTCAACTACAGGAAGTATGTATGTAGTTAATGAATTGTTTTGGAATTACATATTTCCAACACAAAGCAGCGATGTATTAATATACTTTATCGCTTACCTCTTCAATTGCAACTTTTTTCTTAACACTAAACAATGGTGTCCTTAAATATGAATCAGCCTGCAGCCGTTGCTGCTATCATAAAACGCACTTATGCGTTGGTATGAGTGTCGGTGAGCTCAATCCAGCATTTAAGGGAAATTTTAAGCAGCTTATACGAAAACACTTGGTAAATATACACTGCGTTTTATGAAAGCGCCATTTAACTACGCAATTTGACTTTTTCAATAGATAATTACTTTTTTTACACCTTGTAGTTGAAAGAAAAACCCAAATTTTATCACGCAACTCGGAAAAAGTAGATTACACTCAAAAATTTGACCACTTCTGACATTTCAAGTGACAATTCGCTGCTGTTGTCAGTGGGGGTGACATTTTTGCTACATATATGTGTTTGTGTGTGTATTATCATGTGCAATGGTACGAAGTGGCGACAAAAGAAACGAACCAATTAGCGATGATGCCGCAAATAAATAAAATGTTATACCCTCTAAACATAGACAATTATATAAATTTAAGCAGTGGAAGAGTCAACTATGACATCATGACGTCTCCTGCAAATTGTTGTTGCTATAGTAGCGGCAGAAAATATTACTGAAATAATTTTGATGTATGCTACCGAATATTGAAGCCTGGTTAAATTGAAGTTATTCAAAAACAATTACGAAAACTTACCAATCCTTAATAATATATGAAATAAAACTAATATTTCCCCTCATCATATTTATTTTTTCTTATTATTCATTTTATTTGATCGTATAATAAAGTTAAATAGTTTTACACTTAATTATGCAATGAAGATAAAATTAAAAAATATACAGTATAGTTTTTTCTTATGTTTTTAAGAAATACATACATATATATATGTTGCATTGCCTGTTACAAAACTGCAACTGAATAGCGGGTGCTAAAATAATCGTACAGCGTGCAGTGAAGGTTATCGATTATTTTTTGTAATCATGTCGAAAGGACAGAAATATGAAGTATTTATATAAAAATTATTATTTTTTGTTATCACACATTTTATCGCTAAATGAAGGGGTTTTTTAATAAAACGCTCCCACTATTCTCTTGCAGTATTGCACTTATATTTTGTTTCTGTCACTTTTCATATTTTCATATAATATGTGTAACTGTCAGTATTTTTTATTAAAGTTTATTTCATTTTTTTCAAATCATTAATGATCAATGATTTTGCTTACTATTTTTAAGCCTATGATATATTTTTTATATATTAATATTATGCGTTGGGATATATAAAGTATAATATAAAAAATAACGTTTACAACGTTTATACGCTTTTTTTTATAAGTTTCTATTTTTTACAAAAATGTTTTTTTCATATTATGCAAGTTTATTTTTTATAACTTTTGCTTTAGGGTTTCTTTTCTAGTTTTTGTATATATTTCTTTCTACTGTTTTGGGCTGGATAAGTGTTTTTATTGATTTGTTGTGTTTTTTTTTTTGTTTTTTGTTTTACTTTTCTTTACATTTAGACTTTTGAGTTTTACTTTTATGTTAAATTCCTTAAATTGTCGCCATGCTAACCGATTAAAAATGTTGGCGCAGGAAATGTTTACATGCAAAAAATTTGTTAGTGTAAAATTAAGTGTTTGCGAGTGCGTTAAATGGTGTATTTCTTGTTAAATAAAAATGTAAATCGCATTGGCAAAAATATAGTAGTGTAGTACAAGGATGAATTTCTTTGTTTATTGAAATACATTTTATGTTTATTGTATAAGGATATAGGGAGATGGAGGTAGTGAGCGCAGCGAAGAGCTTTGATGTATATATGTATGTATTTAATATTAAATATTATATTTTACGAGTTTAGGTGGGCCGATGCATATTTACTTGCGCTGAAATTTATTCAGCATTTGCAGTTTTTTACTAATATGTATATGATATACATATATACTGTGTTGCCTATGCAACTCAGAGCAGTGTTGTGATATTACGCATTATTCCTTTATTTGAAAGTGGCAATATTTTTATTTTACAGTTTTATATATTTTTTTTTTGCAAATTTGTATAATTTGTTTGTGTGTTGGTTAACCTACTTCTAACATTTATAAAGCTAAAAAATTGTAGCAGTTACAGATATACATATGCACCTATACTAATTTTTACAATGCTGGTAGATTTTTTCCACGAAGCTGGCAAGCTGCGCTCGATTGCATTAAATAATATTCTTTATAAAAAAATTAATTAAAATATTGTTATTTTAAACTGCCAAAACACTCTTGTTAATCGACTTTGATCGATAGTTCGCTGAATGCTGTCATAGGTAAATAACGGAACCGGAAACACATCAGTGACAGAATTTATTACAGGAATAATTACCGCGTATTTTCATAGTTTCACTATAGTAAATTAAAAAAAAAAAACAATCAAGAATAAAGGCTTAATACAATATTGCGATTTATGCAGCAAAATAACATATTATAATTTGATTATAATAAGTATGTGGTGCTGATATGTGATGGAAAGTGTGTAAGTAGCATTTGTAAATCTTTATTTTAAACGAAACAAAGAAATATACTTCTTTTTAGTGTTTGGAATAATTCTTAAACAAAAACCCAAACTGTGTTTAAAGAATTGCCGTAGAAAAAACGTGTTTGTTAAATCCTGGTGATGACGAAAATATGCTTACTGCGAAAAGATAAAAATTTAAAAATAACGTATAAAACAAATAAATATTATGTGTTCACCTGTAATTGTAGTGTCAACACAAAATACGTAATAATATATGTATATAATAATAAAAATATATTTTCTTTTATTAAATACAATGCATACGAAATAAAAATTCGTTTTTTTTTTGTTTATTTAAGTTAATTTTTTATTGCATAAATTAAAAACAATTATTTTTTTTCGCTGGTTTGTTGTAAAATACAATATAAATTATTTAAAATTAAATTAAATTGGTTTACGTAAAAATTATTGTTACAATTTTTCTTTGTAGTGTGTAGTATTAAAAGTTTGCAGAGATATGGTGTCAAAATAAACTTAAAATTAAATGTGTAAAAATCGTTTCTTTAATGTACTTTATATATAAGTATGTATATTATAAAATTAAAACAAACAAAACTTGTGAAAGAAAAAGAAAAGTTAACATTAAACAATAAAAACAGTTAGAATACACTTTTCTTTAATTGCAACTATTAGCTAGTATAGAATACAAATGTGAGTAAGGGTAAACTGGTTGGTTGTACGGTGTGTAAGACACGGTGAGCGCGAAAATAGCAAAAAACATTGAAAAAGGTATGTCAAAAGCTATGTTGCATACATACATGATGAATACGCGTTGCTTTATATACAAGCTGATTACGATTTGCTTGTTGTTGGTATGAGCGGCAGGAGGGCGCCACTTTATAAGTAGTTAAAGTGTACCCTTATTTAACATTATTAGTATTTGTTCGATCTTGATTTTAGTGTTGCTTTATTTTTGCATTTTTCCGCAGATTTTCGCATACTCTTTATGTTTTTTTATTATGCAAATGTCGGTGTATGCTAGTTATATTTTAATAAAAAATTTAGATGCGCTCGAATTTACAGGCATTTACGCATTAATACATATGTATGCATATTTTTATTTTTGTTCGTCATTATACTTATATGTATGTATGTATGTATGTGTATGCTTACTTAACACTTCGTTTGCCAATCATTGCTCATACAATGTCGCTGATTATCTTTTTTAGTTTTAATTTTAATTTTTTTTGTTTGCATTCGTCTTTCATTTCGTTTTTTTCGCTTACACGCACACGTCTGCACTTTTCAAAGAGTTCGTTTCACACATTTCACACCTACAGCTATAATTTATTACACGCCGCTGATTCTACTTTGCCCTACTATCTATTACTTTTACTTTTTGCTGCTTCTGCTACTTTTGTTTGGTGGTTGTGGGTTACATTTGTATGCATTTGCCTGACTTATTACTTGTATGTATGTATGTAGTTATGTATGTATGTAATGCTTTACAGCTGCACTTAATAATAATTATAAACTTGTTCAGCATCTTCTGTTAATTTGTTGTTGGTATATAAGTATGTTGTATGTACTATGTTTGATGTGTTTGTATATGCAATTCTTTGCTACATACTTAGCCTACATGTGTGTGTTTGTATTATTTATAAATACATACATATACTCATTATAGCATATTTATATCTTCGATTTGTTTCACATTTGCATGTGTATATATGTATATATATAAGTAGTATTAATTCAATTTCTGTTTTTTTTTTTGTTTTTTTCTTTTTTCTTAATAAAAAAAAATTGCAGCAATTGTTATAGGAAAGTATTTCGCGGGGGAATAGGTAGCGCGTTAATTTGTTTATTTGTGTATTGTATAATTTCTTGTTTACATATAAATATATATGTATGTATATGTCTATATAATATTAATATTATATGTTTATTATATACATATTTTTTGTTTGTTTGTATATATATGTATGTGTGTCTGCTAATTTATTTAAAAGCAAAAAACGTAAATTATATATTAATAAACATCAATTCCCACTGATGTTACGTTTTATTACTTAAATCGGGCGGATTTGGCGGACTACCTTCCAGCTGCTGCTGCTGGTTTGTTTGCAACTGATGATGTTGTTGTTGTTGCTGCTGTTGCAACTGATGTGGATGCTGTGTCGTCAGCAATGTCGGTACTGATATTGTAGTCGCTTGCGTAATTACCGTTGTTGCTGTGATCGTCTGTTGCACTCCTCCCTGCTGCTGATTCTGTGGATGTGCCGTTTGTATTTGCAATTGTTGCTGTTGTTGCACAGTTTGCTGCAACTGCGACTGCGGCATGGACATTTGCTGTTGATTCGTGTTGTTACTGTTTCGGTGGAAGAGCAGCGTAAAAATGTTGATAAGTCTTTATGAATTTTCAAAGGAACATTTTAAGATTAATATTTAAAAAGATTTATCTAAAATTATATTTTTCATAGTAGTTTGCATTTTTTTTCAAATTATTGAAGAACTGAAGAAAAATTTGATTAAAAATCATACGTCAGAAGCACTTGAGATAAGGTTAAGACGCTGATGCTTGCCACATACTAGACCATCGGTTGGCCCAAAGTATACTATACTGCTCTGATAATTGAGAAGAGAGCTAAAACGGAACGCTCCTTAACATGTGATCCCCAGCTGAATTTCGACCCCGGTGATGCGGTTAAGGATGAATTTAAAACAATCGGATTTTTTCATTTACTCGTATATAAAATGCCTATATTCGAAAATATTCTTTGGAAATTTGATGTTGCTCTGGCCATTAGTTTCGAAATTATGAGCGTATTGTTAACAGTTTTTTTTTTAACTTATGTTAATCGGCTCCCAAAACTTTAAACGTGTTTTTCGCGAAACGCTAGTTTCAGCGTCGGTGAGCTGCACCATCGCCTTAAAATTTTCACAATTTTGGTTTTTTAAACCGCAAGTGTAAATTTTGTTCAGAAAAAGATTTTTTTTGGGAAATTTTGACTTGTTCTTTGATCATTACCCTATAATGCAACACAAAGGGTTATTCTTCATTACCTGATTAAGAATAAGAATGGCGTCGAGTAAAACATTTTAAATTTTGAAAAAAAATAAAAAGCATTGCAAATGCACTTACATTTTCGCAACATTATTCAGCGGATTATTGGAATTGCACAGAACGCTATATACAGAATCGACTTTGCTGAGCTTTTCAAACAGCGGTATCAGTTCAAGCAACTCCGAATCGTTCGTGTCATCAAACCATGACTTTACAGGAACCTGCAACGGAAATGAAATGTTATTAATCAAATGTGTATATGTAGGTATGTACATATATTTGTATATTCACAATGGAAATTTTGACATTTTTTGTATACTAAAAGTAGCAAAAAGCTTTAAATGTAAATTGGTTATGAGCTTTGTGCTATTTTCTTTAACATTTTTCGCATTGTTGCCGCCTTACCGCATTATCTGGATGAAATATATAACTCGCTGGTGAATTATCAACAATGACAATTTTTTGTAAATCACGTCCAAGACGATTTAAATCCTTAATATAATTTCCCCTGTAATAAACGCACGATTCCCTAAACAGTCTTGCGCGAAACACATCCCATCTGCCAACAAAGACGGAATTAATTATTTAATTAAATTCATTTAAATCACACATACTTGTCTAACAGATCGGCAACGGGATCTGCGTATTTGGCTAGTGATGCTGTAAATAAAACACACTCGTACAATTCGCCCATTTTTCGCAGGAACTCATCGACATAGGGCCGTTTGAGTACATAAACTTGATGTATGGTGCCATCAATTTCCACTGGTACAATAAAATCAGCATTTGGAATCGGCTGTAATTCACAGTGTGTAATAAAAAAGTGAAAATTATAAAAATAAACAAAGTTAATTTTTAGGTCATAAAATATATTATACTTTTATACTTGTATGTATAATTTTAGGCGCTTAACACTTTTTAATTTTAGCATGTATGTATGTATATATTTACGCTTACCTTAAAACTACTGTGCACTAATGTCTCATCCAAATCGATGACCATGCATTTTTTATGCATATCCGAGTGCCTAACCTGAGGTAGTAGGTACCTTTGTTGGTCCGGTAATGGTGGCGGTGTTGTGGAACCATCGATTGATGTGCCATTTTGATTGGTTTTCGTACGATTACGTCGCCAGCAGCATAGAAACGATTGAAAGAAGCCGCGTTTTGGTGGTTTCAAACGTTCAACATCATCTGAAATATTTAAGAAGAATCGGTATAAGTTAAGGATTTTCAAAAATTCTGTTTTTTGCTTAATGTTTGTACAATTTACATTTAATTAATAATCACTGTATCAGCTTTTAATTAGGAATATATAATATTTAGTATATTTTTTTTCTTTTTTAAGATTCTGTTTGCACTTCCTTACATGTAATAGATCTGTTGTCAATTCTTTTAAATATAAAATTGTGGAATCGAATTCAAGTTCAGTATGATATTTATTGAAGTTTCTAAAATCATAGGCTTTACACTTAACCTAACAATTGGTTTCAGAAGAACATAACTTCGCTATTTTCTCAAGAAAAAATCGGAATCGATAACAAATTCAAAATAATATTTACTGAAATTTTTAAAATCATAACATAATTTTTTCAGGCACATGATTGGAACATTTTCATCAAATAATTTTACCTGAATTTTCTAAAATCATAATATTAGTAACATGTAAAATAAATCAGATAGCTAAATATTTGCTTTCAGAGGAACATAACCTCACTTATTTTTCTAAATAAAAACCGATCTCAAATAAAAAAAATAACATTTTGAAAATCATCCTTATCACATAACGAAATATTTGCTTTCAAAGAAACTTAACCTTACTTTTGTGTATACAATAAAAGAAAAAAAAACACAATTTTATGAAAAACCGACCTTTCGTTACCGTGACAATCTAACCGTAACCTATATTTGACTAACTTGAAAGTAGTTGAAAGCAATACACTCAAACAATAACTTTATGAACCTAAAAAGTGTTTATTTTATCGCCGTTTTTAGCACGAATCATACTCTTCAGAACTGGTAGCCACTTGAGCTTGACTTTCGCGAAAACTTCTCTGCATAACTTTACATATTTGTTTGCTGTTTTCAATTCGTTTTCATGCAAGTTGCAAGAATTTGCATTTCCTGTCCACGTCTCGCCGCTGCGAAAAAACAAACCGAGCGAACAGTCTTAATTGCTTTAATTGTCAATGACCTGTCGTTGGACGGTGAGGGCACAAGCCGTCGCACCCATTCGTACTGCAAGCTTTCGCTTTCGCTGAATTTGCGTTATTATGTAGTGGAAAAGCGAAAAAAAGTATTGTTAATCCTATGCTAAAATGTTGTGTCTTTATATACTTGTATGTAAGAATAAGGTGGATTCGAATGGTTGCTAATGATATGCTGAGGTGAGTATGTCTAGTATTATGACTAGTGCAGAACTAGTACATACCATTACAAATGAAGGCTTATCGGTTTTAGACCCGAATAAGAGATATATTTAAATTAAATTTTTATACCGAAATTGAAAGTAATTTAATTAAAGTAGTATATACAAAGAAACCAAAGGAAAATGTTCAGCATAGTATCAACTTTGATTCTTATGGAGTGACTTGCCATGTATTACTATTTACCCATCATATTTAGAGAGAATAATTTTTTTGAAAAAATTTTAGATGGAAAAAAGATTAGTAAAGTCCGAAATTTTTTTTTTAGTTGTAATACTCTATTAAAAGCCAAATAATTTCTGTTTCCTCCCGTCGTTCTCTTTTTTTCTCGATCTATTTCTCAAAAAATCGATTTGTTTCAAACAGGGAAAGTAGACGAAAGCCCCAATTTCAATTTGTTACAAATATAGACGTTTACTTTAGTGTAGAATTATGGCGTTCTAAGAGATGAAACTACCCAAAACTGGTTTTATAACCATTTTTTTAAACTATTTTTTTCTGATAACCCTCTTTCACGTTTAGAGGATATTTGTTCATATATGCAAAAAATGAGAAATATTTGAAAAAATTGATATTTTTATAATTTTTATAATATTTAATTCAAATTGTTTCATAGGCTTACAAAAAATCCAAACCCCGAATAACTTTAATTTTCTGCTAACTAAGTATATCAATAACCAATGCTCTTTCTGAGTACCTTGCCAGAACTAACTGTGGTTTGTATAAAGCTTGTAGACAAATAAACACTTGTTGCTGCCGAAGCTCACCATTTTCGTCAAGACGCACAGAAAATTCAGTTCAAATGGTTCAATTGACCAGAGGTTAGTAAACTCACACCTACAAAAATACGAACGTTTACTACACTTTTTCTTGGAAAGCAAAAGTTTTGTTGGCTATGAACCAAATTAGAAACAAATATAGACACTAACCTAGCAAAACTTTGACAACTATTGAATAAAGCATTTCCTGTTTTGGTATATATATTTTTTTGGAAAGCTATTCAAACATTGCTATCAACGTGTTATTTATTTATAGTTATTATGTATATATTATATATCAAGTATGTATTTATATACATTTGAACTTATGTATATAAACGCTTCTATACATATGTATATTCAAACCCTTTAAGCACTCAGGCAAAATTAATTTCCTGTTGGATAAACGACCTGCAACCAGCAATTTACATCCCTATATACATACAAACAAACATATATGTAGATGTGCATGTACTCGATTTGCACGAAAATATTGTTAAGTAATAAAAAAGTGTGCAGAATAGCGAACTCGTAAAATTAGCAAGAATACAAGCAAGTCGACTGGTTGACCCAATTTCGTCTGTGACCCGAGTAATTCAAACAAATGCATATAACAACAACAAAAACAGTTGTTGCATTTGTATATACACAAAATATATATGAATAGATATACATATGTATATATGCGTAAGTATATAAGTGTATGGAGGCACATACGTTATAAATAAGTCGAATTGTGTTGCAAGAGCAACAGTTGCCATTATACAGGGTGATGATATGATAGCGTAACTATTTTTATGATTTCAAAAATCGAATTTTTCGATTGCTCACCTACTAAAATGTAATCGCTCGGCTTCAACAGCTTAATCAGTTTATTTTTAAACGAATTTTTTCGAAACAGCATTTTTCAAATTTGCTGCAGTGTTTACGGAAGTTGACCTGATGTGTAATATCAAATGAAAGTACTAAGAGTCAATAATAATGATTCTTACGGGTCGTTTATCTGGGTTATATAAGTTAATAAATAGCAATATTGCGACGCAATAAAATGAATTTGAAATTGAAACCTCCTTCATTTGAGGTTAGGCTTGAAAAACATATCAGCTTTAAAACTGAACCTATTACCATAAGTAATGTAGTTAAACAAATATTAAATTTTCAAAAATTAAAGTTTTAGAATTTTTGGAATTTTTTTTCTATTTTACCATTTTTTTTATTGCAATTTTGTGCTTAAGTAGAATTTTTAGTCCACAAGAAATTCGACGCACTGTATATACAAATATGTCGATACAAATATACATACATATATGTATGTACAACATTAAGAAATAAATAAACATATATGCACAGTTAGGTATATAAATATATAACCTATAAATGTTTGTATCTATGTACTTTTATACATAAGTGCACAACTCACAAACACACACACACCTATTGCTAAAAAAGCGGAGAAACGTTTGTATATTCTACGGACCAATGCGACCTACATTGCGGATACGCGTTTATTAATTAATACATATGAACCACACATGTACCTAAACACATATGCGAGCATTTCGCGTCACTCATACGCAGCGTACACCAGTGGCTGCGGTTGAGATTTGAGAGTGCAACAGAGTAAATATAAAATAGAAAGGCAAAAATGCATACAAGACAAACATGTTATAGCAAAAAAAAAACAAAAACAATATATATTTATAAACATAGGTATACGTATATGTGTAATACATACATATCTGACATATGCACATACAAGCTTTTACTCAGCTCGGTAAAGCAGTCGAATTCGACATGCAAATGCATTTAATATTATTAATAAGTACATATGCCCCAATAAATGCATTCATGCATGCATACATCGCGCACTTACACACACACATATTTTTTTCTTTATGCGAGCACACACAGACGCCTGTAAGTACACTTTCACGTACCAACAAATATAATATAGGCATAAAATGGGTGCATAATGCTCATGTGTCTGTGTTGCAATGTGAAATTTACAATTTGTCTGGTTGCTGTTGTTGTTGTTGCATTGCTAGTGTTGCACACAGGGTGTTATATGTAAAGTATTCAATACGCATCCATCGCATAGGCTCATGCGAATATAACTGCAATACAAGCTCCATGCATATGCAATAAACGATGAATTGAGTACACGTCTCGACACACACACACGCATTAAATTATGAAATTGAAAGTTTTATGCGTTTAATTGATGTTGAAAGCGATGTCAACGCTGTTAACACTCTTGTTAGCGTAAAGTCATATTTAGCTAATGGCATTTGCAGTAATTAACAGAGAGGCGCGTATAAATTCATATAAATGTAGGCGAAAGAAATCAAGAATTATTGAAAGGAACTTATATTTAGTCAAAGAATATAACTGTTTGAAGGCTTCATTGAGAAAAAACAAGAAAATCATTGATCGGTCAGTTTGTGTGGCAGCTATATGCTATAGTGCCTCGATCTGAACTATTTCTTTGGAGATTGTACCGTTGCCTGAAGATGTCAAATGAAAAAGTTGTTCATACAAGCACTTGATTCCGATAGTTCAGTTTGTACGGCAGCTATATTTTATAGTGGTCCGATATCGGCGGTGCCGACAAGTGAGCAGATTCTTAGTGAGGATACGACGTGTAGAAAATTAGATAGATAGCTTAAAAACTGAGCGACTAGTTCCTATATATACAGACAAACGACAGACGGACATGGCTAAATCAACTCAGCTCCTCATGCTGATCATTTATGTATGTATGTATATATTTTTTAGGGTCTCCGACGTTTCCCCCTGGGTGTTACAAACTTCGTGGCAAACTTAATATAGACTTCATGTAAAAAAGAATTAGCCAACTTTTCTTAAAATCCTGTTCGGGCTTATAATCAAATCATTGTTAATGCCTTAGTATTATTCTGAAAATTGATAGCCTCTATTAAATAATTCCGGACAAAAGGACTTTTTTTAAATTTAGTGGTTCGGTTTTGACTACTAAGGTAATCATTTTCTA